GAGTAACATAATTTAAGCTTTCAAAATTAGTAAAATTATCAAAATCTAAAAAAACAAGCTTTAGTTGAGATTAAAGTACGTTAAAAGTTTAATATTTAACCAATTAATGTTAAATATTCTTTTTAAAATAGCCTATATATAAATACATAAATTGTTGTATTTATACTGATAGTCTACGAGTCTAAAACCTTGTTAACATACCAAAATAATATTTTGCGATCATAAAACTGCATTCATTTACCCCAAAAATTAATTAATTGATATTCTTATAGATCACAGTGGTTNTTCTTCAATAAATCGCTCAAATTTAAAGTAATTTAATAAATTAAGTTCAATCAAAGCCTCGATTCGTTATATAGAAGCTCCTGAAAATAAATATAAACATAAATTATTAAACTTAATTGCTACACTTATAAGTCGATATGAAGAGTAAAATAATTAATAATATGCTCTGAATTTATATAAAATAATTAATTTAATCTGTAAACTGCACAAAATACAACACAAACAATAAATTTTTTGAGAGAAATTCTATAAAATTATTCTAGAAACGTATCAACTCCCGATACGTCTCGAACGGAAAAGACGACTTCTATGACTAATTTGTCGACATTTTATTTAAGAAACGAGCTAAAAAATTTCCATTAAACTTTTTAAATTAAATTACAAAATATTTATCATTTTTTAAAAGGAAAATAGTAAAAAAATAATAAAATGAAAAAAAACGTAAGAGATATCCCGAGAAAAAGCGAAAATATTTTCATCAATCAAATTACGAGATGAAACGCTCCGACTTATAAGCAACAGTGTAGACTCTACAATCTCACAGGATGAGTGAAAGTGACAAGTCAAGGATAAATGACAGCAAAGAATGACGGGATATAATGAGACAGTGAACAGTGAAGAAATGCGCGCGCATCGGAGGCGTCACAGCTGCCTCTCCTCGTTGGCGAATGTGACTTGTAAACCAAGAACATTAGCGTTGATTTATACCCACTGATCTTACTTAATTGCTGTTGTAACTGAATTTAAATTTACCGTCGTCGTTTTCAAGAGAAATATTTTCTCCCTTAACAGTATCCACACACACACACACACAGACACACGCACACAGTAAATGCTGTATCAGCCTGCAAGGAATCTTCTTTTTAAAACTTTATTTTATACCCCAGCAAATGCAATTAACGGTATAAAGAATTATGCAAGCTGTCAATGAATAATATTTAAAGTTTTTCTCAGATTAAAATGTATATAAATTAATTTATACGTTGATTAAATGGATTATTTTTATTATTTCAACTTTGTTCGACTTTAATTATAATTTATGATTTTTGTAATTATAATTATTTAAATATAAAGCTTACTATTAAATGAAACGGTAATTATTTAAGTTATTAATGTAATAATTTATATTAATAATGAATTTTATTTTATTTTTTTAATTTTAAGAGATTATTTAAGAGTTTATTCTTTTATTAGTTAATTAATTGTTTTTATTGAATTTTACTGCAAAAATGTTTGCATTTTTTAAGTAATTTAAACTTAATTTTGTTTGATTCATTCTAGTGTATTTAGCCTATATAATGATTAATAAGTAAATAATTATATTAAAAACTTTACTTTTTTAATTTTATTTTTAAATATTTAAGTGCTTTTGCATACAAACAATTGCATATTTTTTAAATTTAAATAGTTTTTGACCAATTTTGTTAGGTTTAATACATTTTTCCCTGTATAATCAGCAAACAAAATAAGATTAATTATTAATATTAAATGAATTTAACCCGTTAAAACTGAATTAATTATACAAAATATTTTCGAATCGCACTATAATTTGACATAAATTTGATATTTCTAGATTTATTTTAATGTCTAAATATCTATTACTCCCCTTCACTTAGATTTAGAAGCGTTATCTAAAGTAACTTTACAAAGCCTGTAATCGCATAAAAATTACTAAAAACACTTTTAGACGAGACGTACAAAGTCTTTGCATTGAAGCAGATTTAAAGAAAAGTTTAGTCAGCAGAAATAGTTTCTTTTTATTTTATTTTTTCCTTATTCCCCCTCGATTCCTACCTACGCTACTAACAAACAAGAACGGCAAAACCTGTCGTTCAATCGATACATGCTGGTGTTTTAACGGCTGCAATTTTTCTTTTCCACAGTAGCATAGCTTCACATTTGGCACGAACAATCTTCGATTTGTTACCATCTGACGAAACGTTTCCCTTTGCCAAATACCATCTTGCCCATTAAGGCAATAAAAATTGTTTAGAATCTACAATAAATATTATGTTCCAATTTATTTGGATGTTATTTTTTGTTTTGTTTCAGTTTTAAGGAAGAATAAAAGATAAACAATGCGCTCTCCGGGTATAATGCGCAAGCAAAGTTTACGCGTTATTTAATTTATTATTCATTTTTTTACAATTGTTCCTTTATTATTCGAAGTAGGAAAACTTATACGTGTTATTTATAAGTGTATATTTATAAATTTAAATCGCTTGTACACAACCTGAATGCATCGTAAAGTATTAAAACCTCTTACTATATTTTAAAGGCGCTTAACCTAGAATTATAATAAATTTAATTTTTGTTTCGGTTGCGTTATTATAATAATCGATTTTAATTTGGAATTAGCTCGAAATCTAATTAAGGAAACGTTCAGACTTATAGTTAAATATATAATTAAGCTATTATATAAATAAAATTAAACTTTATATTATCATATTCCCTTATAGGAATCTCTTTTAGATTTAAAATATTGTTCACAGCTAAGTGGATTTTGTAGATTATAATATTGTGAATTTCTATGGAATATGATTTTAAATCTGAGATTCGAAGTAATTAACGAATGACTGAAGATTACCTTCATAAAAGCATAGTGAGATAACATATCACCAAGTCATTAGGTGAAGTAATCCAGCTAGACCACAAGATGGTGATTACTGTCATTTAAACTATCATCCTTTTGATAGATTTTCTCTTTGTTCATTTTACTAATTAATTAAAGCAGACAATTAGAATTTTCTATATGATTTTATTGAAATGATCTGTAGGTAAAACTAGAAATATTATTTCGAATCAAATTAATTAGGGAATTCTTTCGTTTCAATGTAATTTACGAGAATAGAATTAAATAACAAATTTTTACACTTATAATTAGACGTTGAGGCTTTAAAATTACAATTAAATAAAGAATTTTTATGTTTTAGGACTCGAAAATGGATCAAGAAGTCACTTAAACACATAAATTTCTTCAGTTTGGGGGAAGTACTGTACAGTATATTATGTAAATTTATACCAGTTTACAGTACTTTAGCATATAAAATAAACTAATTTTAATTGTATTTATTATATTTAATGAATTTATATTAAAATTATATAATTATTAAATGATTTAATATTGGCATAACTATAGATATGAAAGAGAGATAAAGAGAAAAAAATTAATATTTAATTCAGAAGCCATTCAGATAACTTCAAGTATAAGCAAACATTGCTTTAAATTATGTTTATATTATATAAAACAGTGTATTAAGTTAAAATTAAGTTATAGCCCATAAAACTGTAAGTTATTAATGTACAGTACTGCAATGCCTAAATACATCTTAAACTATTAAGATCACTTACTACTATTCCAGGATGCTTAAATAATATGCATGCAGGATAATGTTCTTATAGGAAATATATGAATAATTCTACAGACAATTTCATGTAAAAATAGAACAGCAGGAAAAAATTTGTAACTGAAAACTGTTTCTAATCAGGAATAAGTTACTGAATATGCAAATTCTACGCTTAAAATTGACTTATATGCCAAAGTAAAGTCATCCCTATGTTATTTATATAACACTTCCTTAAACTTTCTTTCTGCTGACTAATTTAATTGCATTTTTCTGAAGTTTCGAATGTGATTAAATTATTTATATCTTAATTTATTAATAAACGGGGAAATATAAATATATATACTTGGAGAATACTAATTATGTAATGAAACCTTGTATTTGTATCATATACAGGCTAAAAGATAAAAATCTTTATCGCTTCTCTAATTAAAATTCATGTGTTAAAACGCGACGCCCTATGCTGCAATTTAGGGCCTTGTGTTACGAGTCTATAGCTTTGGGACTCACATTTTTTACATCGTTATTTGGTGGAGGGGAAGGGCCTGTTATATGTTACAGCTTAGGGTCACAACAAGTCAAAGTCCATCTTTGGTTAATCAAAACTTAATAATTATATTCTGGACTTGCATTTGTTTAATTTGAAAATATATTAACTCATCTTAAAATGTATAATTCGATAAATAAATCTACATTTTAAATATGTGAAAAGCCTAATTATGGTAGTCTGAGTGTGCGCGACATCTCATTAATATTAAAATATGCTACATTGAGAACCCATTGAGAAAAATAGCAGGCCCTTATTATTTTTTAAATACAAAATAGAAGACCTACCTTCCATAAGATAAAAACAGATTCAACTTTAATTTTTTCTACATAAAATTACAGTTTTGAACATTAATATTGATAATTTTAAGTTAAAAAATCAATTAAATTGTTAATTATTAATAATTTCTAAATTGTAAACTTATAAATTATATATTTTATAAACGAAAAAAGTTTTGTTTTAATGTTTATATACACTTTGTTTTATATAAATACCTAAATATATATTATTTAAGAATTAAAATATGAAAATATTTTAATAATAAATAAATAAATAAATAAAATTGAGTAACTTTTTAAAATATTTAAAAATATCTGAAAAATTAATTAAAAGAAATCCGGTTGATTCGAGCCCTCCTACAGTTAAGAGGGGCGGGAAAAGGATTAGAGGTGCAGTGACGTCATAAAACTCACTCCCCCAAATAGTGTCGGTAGTAAGTGAGATCGATCGGACTAATTTCTATTCCCGTTTAAGAAAGAAAGGAAACAACACCAACTCTTAAAAAAAGTTATTTTTAAAAATATGCATGCAAGGCGAAAATTTACCGGTACCATACATGTGGGCAGATATCTCCTTCCAACTCGTTCGCTGCACCGATGACAAGATATTCGGCAATCTCAGAATGGGTGATAGAGTTTGTTGGAACAGTCCGACCATTCGTTGCCTGATTCGCCTGCAGAAATTGTCGGTGGTGTTGCTGCCGGAAGCTTTTCTATTGGACTATCTAATAACCAATAGGGCGTCAGCGCGCCACATTATGGGCGGTTCTAGGAAATCAAGACATTTTTTTTTCTTTTCTTCTTTCTTCTTCTTCTTCTCTGTACCACACTTCAATGCTTTGGCTTGCTTGATTGCGCTTTGTAAATCCTTAAACGTGTTTGTAAATAAACTTTTTAGATAATATATTATTACCTATTGGTTATTTCTCTTATCAATTATTGTTTCTCTCCCTTTATATTAATGTATAAAGTGTTGGCTTTGAATGCTGTTACGTCAATCAAACGATGTTTTATCTATATTCTAATTAATATTGGCCTTGTTTTAAAACTATTCTTTAATTATAGATTAATTATACTTTCGAAATTAAATTAATTTTTTATATATTTTTAATAGTTGAGATAATCAGAAAACGGCGTCAAATTCTGTCTATTAAAGTCTAACACGTGGCTTTAGACAATATTTCTTTCATTTGTCACTTCATTTGTATTAATTTTGTGTAATTTTAATCTTAATATACATTAATTTTTGACTTAATTATTGAATTTCAAAGTTTGTATTTATCCTGAAATTAATGGAAGTAGATATGAAATTATATTTTTATTTTCTCTCTTAACGGCTTATTGTTTTAATATACTTATTTTATTCGAATAATTTTAATTAAATTAATATATTTTGTTATAAATATTGCGTTAAATATTATAATTTTCGCTGATCTTAATTAAGCATTAACTAGAATTATTCGAGTTCGATTCTCGTTTGGAATAAACTCTAATATTTTTTCCAATATAATAATATAATGAAAAATAATTAATTTTATTTAATTTTTTATCATATTTATCTCACTTAACTACGGTAATTTCGATAAGTATGCCGAAATTTTCATTAAACAGCGAATGAAATTACGTATCAAAATACATAATCGACTTTCTTCACACCAATAAAACAACCCAATTCCTGAATAATTTATAAATATAGCCTATATTCAATATAAACATATCAGCAATTAAATTAGAGAGCCTAATTTAGAATTAGAATCACACTTTGTAAATAAATTATTAAACAGAATTAAAGTTAACATCCTTAAATTAATTATAATTAATATTAAGATATTCGTACAGTTTTTTAAAGTGAGATAAGGAGTTTAATTTGATTCCGATCGTTAATGGACTAGTCCTAAGGGTTCCAATAGATTTGCAAGTCACTCACCGGGATAGAAATGTAGATAACTAATACCATTAAGGATTCAGTACGTCCAGCAATTACATGATTACATTGGGGACTGAAGAACAGCAGAACAGTTGGTCTCATTACCCTTGAAGATTGCATTGAATCTTTAGGAGAAGCCGTTGGAGAGAATATATAAACGCATTCATCTATGTGTATAAGGCTTCTGCGATTATCTAAAGGGCAAAAGTTATTAAGCATTATCCTCATCAAACCAACGTATCAGTCTGTTTAAGTCTGATAGAAGTTGGTTAAGTTTAGGCTTTGTGAATTCCTTACTTTCAAAAGATAAGGTTGCAGAAGGGTGTTTATAATGAAAAGAGCTAATAAAACAATTTAAACAATGGAAATTGTCAAGACAATCGGTGATTACAACGCAGAACTTTGAGTCATTCAACAGAATTCCTGCTCTATTCTTCTTAGAATCGGTGTGGTAAGGAGGAAACACGAATTTAAAAACAAAAACATATAATAAATTAAGAATTGGCTCTAAAAAACTTAAATTATTTAAAATAAAACAGTTTTTTCTATTGAATTGAATTCATCATCAAAGATTTAACTTAGCTTTAAAAAAAGAAGAAAAAAAAATACAAGTAGACTCGTAAATCTTCGTTTGTTTTGTTTAATCTTGGAGGATAAAATTTGAAAATAAAGATCATTTTTAAGCAATTTGCGTTCAGAAATATAACTTCGATTTAATAAAAAAAAAAAAAGTAAAGAGTAGACTTTAAAGGAATTTTTAAAGAACGAATTCATAAAAGCCTGCATATTAAAAATAAAAAATAAAACTGATTTCTTCCAAAAACTGTTGCCGAAACAAAAGATTNTGGCATAGGATTACTAGGTGAACATAATCTGTGTTGAGAATTTGCTGCTTCAGGGGGCTGGAAGAAGTGCATGTAGCTGAACCTAGGTTTAACGCCAAACCACTCATTAATAACAAATAAAATATAATTGTTTCCAAAATTTATTAAATTTTTGAACCAGAATTTTTGAAAATTCTTCTAGAGATAGATAAAGCCTAGAAATTAGGAACTGCTAGGAAATGGGAGGAAGCAAGCAACGCCGTCAACAATCAACAGAGCTGTCAGTGTGTGTAGAAGCAGTCGACTGTAGTATTCTGTGTTAGTGTGAGTCTTGTTATAAATATTCAGCAGAGTACAGAATGAACTCTCCTTCTCTTGTTAGCTTGAGTGGCAGTCCTTGACGGGGTGACGATGTCGACTAATGTTGGTGTCACTGTTTTGTCAATGTCAGGATGTAGGTCTTTCCCTCGAATTAGGATTCTCTTGTTGATGATCCGACTACCTCTGTTAATTGTGGACTACCAAATTGTTCAATCGGTTAGCTCTACATTGCTACAATAATTGGAGTTTTAATTTTCGTTAATAGCGTAGGAAAGTATCAAGATCTTTAATTTAATTAACGAAAATTGTCTGTTTTAAAGATTATTCTGTATTTTAATATCTGTTCTATAAAAAATTAATAGAATAAATTCTAGATAATCTACCCGAAATTTCAGATCAGTTGGTGTAAGTAGGCCTTTGAGATTCGTTAAATTTAACCGAATTAAATTGCTTCTGTAGTGTTTCATTTATACAATTGTAGTCGAACACGTAAATAACATTATTTACATTTTATTTATATATTATCCACGTAGACTTTGTTTATAAATAGGACTTATTATACTAGTGTAGTTTCGAATTAGCAAAGGATGTAAACTTAGTCAAAAATAAGATAAAATAGCTTATTACACAAGTTCTATTTATAAACAAGATCTACGTGGATAATATATAAACAAAATTGAAACATTTAAGGACAGAGACACAAAAGAATTAACATAATTTAAATTCACATGGAAGCATTATCATCGATACATTTATATAAAAATTCTATCAAAAATGGCAGTAAATCACTGGGAAATTTTGTAAAGAAAATGAGTTTTTTGCTCCAGTTTAGATCGTAAAATTGGTAAAAAAAATTAGTTCATAAATTCAATAAGTAAAGTTATTCTACAAAAATAACTTTTACACAATATAATTTCGTCATTTTTTTCGAAAATAGAATGCATTTTAGTATTTGAGATGATGATGATCTTGGTGATATTACAGCAAAGAACTAGCAAATCATTGTCCCGGTAGCTACATTAACTTGCTTGGAGCAGTGATCCATTCTGTAAGATCATTAATAAGCGGTATCAACAGACATTGAACAGGTCGGGGTTGACTATCAACAAAATCGAATAACGCTACATTGCTTAACAATGAAAATGAACGAACTTTACAACATCTGAATATATCCTACGGCTCTGAAAGTAGTGGATAATATTTTTTAGAAATTCAAAAGAAACGAAAAAATGGAAAATATTCTATAGAATAAGTTAACGTTAAGATTTTAATAATATGAGTGTTATGCTTAACTTTTTTCCTATACAAATAATGTGCTGTTTACATCACATTTTTTGAAGGATAAAGTGCTTTCGCTTAGGCACACTACAGTGATTACATTAACGGAACAGATATCAAACTTTTGCTATTAGAAAACGGGCAAGAAGCCAATAAACATTATTTAGTTTAGTGGATTTTTGAATACAATATTCAGAAATTGTCAACTAAGTTGAAAAATTAAAGTTCTTAATACCAATAAACCGGCATAAAGTAAGTGAAACCTCAGATCCTGAAGGTCAAAATTGAAATATAGTAGTCTTTTTAAAACCTGAAATCTACTAAAATTGAAATTTAGTATTTCTTTTAGAGCCTGAAATCCACTAAAATTGAAATATAGTAGTTTTTTATTGCCTGAAATCTAGCAAAATTATATTCTTAGTAATAAAAATAATATTAATTGATTTAAATTAAGTGCCTGCAGATTTTAGTTTTCAGCATAACAGATTGATGAAGTTTTCAAGCTGTTTCATTCGGAAGTTTCAAGTTGAATTTATTAAATAAAGGAAAAGTTTTAATGAAATGCTTATGTTAAAATAAACAAAAATAGAGTGAAATTATTAATTAAAAATAGGTTAAAATTTATTTGTGAGTTGCCTTTGGGAAATTAACAACAATTAAATATGGTTAACTGAGGAAGAAGTGAGAACAAATAAACACAAGTAAATAGTAAAACTGATAATAAAACATAGTCTAAACATTGAAAATATATTAAAATTTACTGCCTTAATTATATTTTTAAACGATAAAAAGTATTTGCTGATGTAAATTTTCATTAAACAGCGAATGAAATTACGTATCAAAATACATAATCGACTTTCTTCACACCAATAAAACAACCCAATTCCTGAATAATTTATAAATATAGCCTATATTCAATATAAACATATCAGCAATTAAATTAGAGAGCCTAATTTAGAATTAGAATCACACTTTGTAAATAAATTATTAAACAGAATTAAAGTTAACATCCTTAAATTAATTATAATTAATATTAAGATATTCGTACAGTTTTTTAAAGTGAGATAAGGAGTTTAATTTGATTCCGATCGTTAATGGACTAGTCCTAAGGGTTCCAATAGATTTGCAAGTCACTCACCGGGATAGAAATGTAGATAACTAATACCATTAAGGATTCAGTACGTCCAGCAATTACATGATTACATTGGGGACTGAAGAACAGCAGAACAGTTGGTCTCATTACCCTTGAAGATTGCATTGAATCTTTAGGAGAAGCCGTTNCTTTCTCGTCTTCTCGCTCTCTTCCCTTCTTCAACCTGTATCATTAAGTAGGCTCTACCAACTAATAATAATAA